ACGTTCCCGGTGACAAGGACTGGCTGGAAAACTATGCCAGCAAGGAGTTGGAGATCAGTTCGTCTGAGGCACTCTTCAGCTACGAGCTTGGCACAGCCCTGAATGTGGATGCCAGTTCCCCCCTTACTGGCAAGGAGCAGTGGGCAAGGGCGAAGCCATCCCAGCTGGAGTCCCAGGGAGAAGAGGGCTACCAGCAAGTGTTTGTGGTACCTCTCCTTGGGCAGGATCCTGCTCCACGAGAGAGCAGTGGTGAGGCAGAGAGAGGTGTGAGCGAGGGGGAGCAGAGCTGTCCGACTGCTGGCAATGCCCTGGAAGATGACTGCGTGCAAGGAGACACTGCCACAGGCTCAGCTGAGCTCAGTGTTTCTCAGGATGTGGCAGAGAGCTGCACCTTGCACTTGGAAGCACTGAATGTCTCATCTGACCCCCTCCTAGTGCACTTGACTGGAGATGCCTGTGTGACACAGCCAGAGAGCATGGAAATGATGTCCTGCAAGGAGCCTTCCGCAGCCTTTGAGATGCTGGGTTCCCAGGATGACCTTGTCTTGGAGAACAGTGGCAATACACTTGAAGAAACCCCAGACTTTGAAGAAGAGGAAGTAGATGTACAGGAAGATGATGTGGTGAGACTGAAGCACAGTGTAGTGGCAGGAGACAGCCAGGGAAAAGACACTCTAAGGCAGGCAATGGACCACCTTGAGAGGTCATGCTCAGACCACCACAAGCTGGTGGCAGACACTGAGGTGAGAGGGACCGGCCAAGCCAAGCTGCCAGAGGCCTGGCTCAGTGTGCTGAAGACACCTGAGCAAGGCCACCCACCTGTCCCAGAGGAGGTGGTCACCTCAAATGGCAATGCCAGGGGTGGCTCAGAGTCCGTGCTGAAGGCTCTTCGGAAGCAGGACAAGGAGCAGGCAGAGACGCTGGTGCTGGAGGGCAGGGTGCAGATGCTGGTGGTGCAGTCGGAGAGCCAGGTCTTTAAGTGTGAGAAGTGCTCTTACATTACGCGGAAGGAGAAGTCCATGTCTCTGCACTCCAAAGCCAGCTGCCAGAGACGCCGGGCCCCGCTCGTGTGTCACGAGTGCGGCGCCAGCTTTAAGCAGCAACGGGGGCTCAACACTCACCTCCTCAAGAAGTGCCCAGTTCTCCTGAAGAACAACAAGATCCTCAAACCAGCCAGCCAGGAGTCACCTGGATTGTGCCAATCTGCTGACCAGCCTGGTGATAATGGTACAGAAACAGGGGAGAGTGAGAAGGGACGCTCAGAGGAGTTCGGGCGTGCTGAGAGCCCTTGGGAAGCTGAACTGCTGCCTGATAAAACACAAGCAGAAGGCAGTCCTTTGGCTGGAGAACAGGCATCAGGCTGTCTTGCCCCTGAGAAATCCCTGCCGGGTGACAGCATAAAGGTAGCAGAAGAGCCTCCCCAGCAAGGGGATGGACCTGAGCCAGGTGGAGCTGCTGATCCCTCCCAGCCTGGGAAACCCTTAGAGAAATACCGGCTGGAGGGAGGGAAGCTGCACTGCAACGCCTGCTCCTTCGTGTGCTCCCGTGTCTCCACCATCACCTCCCACGTGGAGGATGGCTGCCGGAACCTGGAGCAGTTCTGGTGCTCCCTGTGTCCTGAGGCCTTCCGCTCCCAGCGGGCCCTCAAAAGCCACTGTGCTGAGAAGCACATCATGCATCCCAAGGAGGACAGATCCCAAAGCACCGAGCTCCCTGAGGGAGACCTAGCCAGTGTTGAAACAGGCCAGTCCAGTAAACTCCCACTGGATGTGGCCCCTTCAAAAGCCACCCTGCCCAAGAGGAGGCGTTTCTCCTGTCCCAACTGCCCTTTCACCTGCCACCAGGAGCGGGCCATGAAGACGCACAAGAAGAGGGGCTGTGTGACCCTGGGTGAGTTCCGCTGTGCCTCCTGCCCCTTTACTTCCAAGGTGGCTAAAGCCCTGCAGCTGCACCGCAGGCTGCACCGCAAGCACTACAGCAAGCGACCGCAGCTGCAGTGCCGCCAGTGCGAGTTCACCTGCAAGCAGGCCCGCTGCCTGCGGCAGCACGTCCGCATCAAGCACGAGGGGGTGAAGCCGCACAAGTGCCGCTACTGCGAGTTCAGCACCACGCGGCGCTACCGCCTCGAGGCCCACCAGTCCCTGCACACCGGCGTGGGGCGCATCGCCTGCGGCATCTGCAGCCAGACCTTCGGCACCAACTCCAAGCTGCGCATCCACCGCCTGCGGGTGCACGAGAAGACACCCACCCACTTCTGCCCACTCTGTGACTACAGCAGCTACCTGCAGAATGACATCACCCGCCACGTCAACAGCTGCCACCATGGCGAGCTCAACTTCGCCTGCTCCCGCTGTGAGGCTCGCTTCAGCTCCGAGACGGCCCTCAAGCAGCATGTCCTGCGGCGGCACGAGGAGAAGGTGTCCTATGGCTGCCCACGCTGTGGCTTCATGTGTCACAGCGAGGCCACGCTCAAGTGCCACGTGCAGAAGCAGCACCCGCACCTCGAGTGCAGCACCTGCAAGGAGACTTTTGCCACCCGGGAGGCACTGGAGGAGCACAAGACGCAGCATTTCAGCCACCGCTGTGAGCTGTGCAGCTTTGCAGCCAAGGAGCGGCAGCAGCTGGTGCGGCATTATATGGAGAGCCATGAGCCAGCCTCCCCCCAGGACAAACCCCTGCACTGCCCCTTCTGCGACTTCGCCTGCTGCCACCAGCTTGTCTTTGACCAGCACATGAAGGGCCACGGGGGCACCCGCTTGTACAAGTGCTCGGACTGCGAATACACCACCAAGAACAGGCAGAAGATCACGTGGCACATCCGCATCCACACGGGTGAGAAGCCCTACAAGTGCCACCTCTGTAAATATGCCTGCGCCGACCCCTCACGTCTCAAGGTGAGAGCTCTGCTTTGGAATGTATCCTACTGTATCTACGTGACTAGAGGGGCATCCAGACATGGGGATCTGGGGAAGAAGTTCCCAAGGGGAGGTTTTATCCTCTGTCCTCTTCAGTGGCTCACACAATAGTAAGAAGCAAGTGGATAAAACTTGTATAAAAATATGTTTCTTCCCTGCTGTTGCAGTTTAAAGAGAAGGGGGATTTTTAACAAAGCAAGAAGGCAGGCAGCTGTCCAAGTTCACTCCTTTTCCTGATGACATCTCTGTCTTTCTCTGGGTGCATCCTTGCACCACTCGAAGCCAAGTTAGGCTGCTTGCTGGCTTCAGCATGCTCTGTGATGCCAGTTAGACATGGTGCAGTGAAACCTCAGCTTCCTTGCAAGCAGATCATGATCCTGCCATCATTGCTACATATGATTAGCATCCTAATGCGTGGTAAAGGGCCTTCCCTAGAACAGGAAGGCCAGGCATGGGGCAATGGAGGGAAAATAGTCTGATTTTGCTAAAATAAATACTGACTTCTTAATGATCAGGCTGAGCTGGAGCCCCCTGGGGCCACCTGGGTGAGGCTGTGCTCAACTCAAAGCTAGCTCGAGTTGGGTTTTAACCCAGACTTTGTCTTAAATAACAAACTGGGGAGCAAAGCCTGTGCCATCCACAGGCTGGGACAGAGCAGCTCAGCAGTACGGGCATCTCATCTCAATCCTGCTGTGGATCGCCCTTGCCCATAGCCTGACAGGCAAGCCCACAGCCCTCCTTGCCACACGCAGTTGGAGATGCCAGAGCTGTCTTTGAGCCCTTCACTGGCATCCCAGAGCCCTACACATTCCCAGGGCAGCGGATGTGGTCTCATCCTGACCCCACCCTCCTGCCCTGTGCCCAGTATCACATGCGGATCCACAAGGAAGAGCGGAAATATCTCTGCCCCGACTGCGGCTACAAGTGCAAGTGGGTGAACCAGCTCAAGTACCACATGACGAAGCACACGGGTGAGTGCTGCTAATGGGGACAGGCCATGGAGCACCAGGGAGGGTGTTGGGGCTGCAGGGACCCCAGCTCCCTGCTTCTTTTGCTACCAGTGGCCCAGCTGGAGGCAGGGGAGGACCCCCAACATTTGGAGGTCAGCACATTCTCCTGTGCCAGTGGGCTGGGGCCAGTGCCCTCAGGTGGGAGGGAAGTTGGAGTGGTGCAGACCCCAGTCACTATTTGGTGCCTTGGAAAGGGGAAGTCTTGGTGTGCCTGCTGACACAGTGGGGTGTAGGGCAAAGTCCCTGGGAACTGATGATGTATTGCAGGGAGAGTGAGACCCGTGGAATGGAGAGCACTGTGCCCCCATTCCGGTGCCATCCCTTTCCCTGTCGCCACAGGCCTGAAGCCATACCGCTGTGATGAGTGTGAGTACTGCACCAACCGTGCAGACGCCCTGCGGGTTCACAAGGAGACACGGCACCAGGAGGCCCGTTCCTTCATCTGTGAGCAGTGTGGCAAGGCCTTCAAGACCCGCTTCCTCCTCAAGACCCACCTGAAGAAGCACAGTGAGGAGAAGCCCTATGTTTGCAATGCCTGCGGGCGAGCTTTCCGCTGGGCGGCCGGCCTGCGCCACCACTACCTGACCCACACCAACGAGCATCCCTTCTTCTGCCGCTACTGCCCCTACAAGGCCAAGCAGAAGTTCCAGGTCATCAAACACATCCAGCGGCATCACCCTGAGCATGGGGCTGTTGACCCAAGCCAGGGGGTGGGAAAGGACCCCAGCACACACACCGTCCACCTTCATGCTGTGCAGAGGGAAACGCAGGCCAAGGGGCTGCCCAGGATGGAGCAGGAAGAAGGATGCCCTGTGGAGAAGGATGGCACATTGCTGTGAGGCTGAGTCCTGACTGCTTTAAGGCGCTGGTGGCACAGGCCTCCTGCAGAGATGTATGTGTGTGTATAGGCATATATGTATATGGGTTGTAAAATATGTGACTGTATAAAAGGAATCACTCAGCTCCTTTTAATATTGTTTCTTGGGGCTGTTTGGAACCCTGTATGAACAGTGGGGCAGGTGCCCACAGAGGAAGAGCACAAGCACAAGCCCAGCTCCCTGTCTCTCCCCAGCGCCACTGCACCCAGACCTGAGCTTATCTGTCACTGAACAATTTATTAGGTTGCTTACCGAGAAAGGATGGGACAAGGGTTAATCTGGGGTTGTAGGGGCCAGAGGCTGTAATGGGGCTCTGCAAGATCAGGGGCAGTGAGGACCAACTCCTCTCACAGCTCTGCCCAGCCTCGGGGTTTGCTTGGCTCCAGCCTTGCTCCCCTGCCTGGTGGGGGACCAGCCCCTGCAGCAAAGCCAGGCCATGCACCATCTCTCCTCCTCCCCATGGCCAAGCTGTGACCTTAGGCCAGGGCAGGGTGCCTGGGGGGATTCAGGGAGCTGCACCAACATAGACCTCATGCTCAGGCATGGGGGACAGCATCCCGAACCTGGAAAGGGCAGGTCAGTGCTTTTTCCCAGTCCTCAGAGGCTACTGCAAAGGGGGTCACAGCAGCAACAACACAGGGATGACACGAAACAGCTCAACAAGAGGGCAAGGTGGTTGGCTCTGCGGCCCCAGCCACTCAGGGCCGCCTGTATGGCTTCCATCTGGGTGCTGCTCACCCCATGAGCTCAGTCCTGTTCGGGGCCAGGTGGCTCGGTGATGCGGATATGGACAAAGAGAGAAGAGGGTGGGATGCTCGTGCCGTCCTTGGAGAGGAGATGGATGTGGCGGTATCCTGCAGGGGGTACAGCAAGGCTGTGGCTGACTGCAACCACATCTCCCTCTATAGCACCCAGCTGAGCCCCAGACACACTTAACGGGGCTGTGCTGGGCCCCCAAAACCACTGGGCAGCAGCCACTCACCGGGTTTGATGTTGGCAAAGGCTAGGGTGAACTGGCCCACAAAATCATTCCTGGAAGTCTTGTCATAATCCTCCACCACAAAGCGGACCAGGGCCAGCTCAGGCACATGGAGCTGGAACTGTAGTGTCTCATCCCAGCGGGGGTTAAACCCTGGGAAGGGAGAGTGGGTGCTGGGAGGGTGAGGGAGGGCAGGGGAGGTGCCTGGGCACAGCAGGGTCCCTGGTACCACTGTGGGGCTCACCATTGTTCTCAATGTACTTTGTCTCCTGGTGTGCCTGGTCCGCAGGGACCCCATGGATCTCCACGCGCACAAGTGGGTCGATGATGGCTCCGTCCTTGCTGTTGGCCACTTTGGGGAGCTGCTGCCCGCTGATCACCTGCAGGTAGGGGCATGGACCCCATGAGCTGGGGAGCAGCCAAACCAATCTATTGTGAGGCTACTCAGCTCCAGCACACTGCCCGACAGTCCCCATCTGGCTGGGACTGACAAGAGCCCCAGGACACTGTCACAGCTTCCCTGGGATCTCTCCTCAGCCCTGTACCTGGATCGTCAGGGTGATGGGGCCAGGGCCTTCCCGGCTGCTGGGGTCACTGGGGTTGAAGAGAGTCTCCTCATCCCTCATGAAGGGTGGTTTGAGCACGTAGCCACAGCAGCCGTTCTGGCTGAAGAGGCCATCGCACAGGTCCATCTCCGTGCCGGCTGTCTGGAAGTTCAGGGCCACTGCAGGGAGGTGGTAGGGAAGAGGGTTCAGAGCAGCTTGGAGACACCATGCCCTGCTTGGAGCTGAGAACCAGCCTGTCCCCGTAGCCAGAGAGATGCGAGGCTGCACAGGGGGATAAGGCACCGATACCTGGATACCCCCAGACTCCCCAGAGCAGAGCAAAAGCTGGCAGCCAGACCTGGCTCCAGCTGGGGCTGTAGCTGGCACTAACACAGGTGTCGATGGTGGCATTTGGCACAGGACTTGCGGTATCTCCCCAGCCCACAGCCCTGATGCCCCCCAGCCATACCGATCTGGCACCCAGCATTCCACATCTCCTGGGGGCTGTAGTTGGAGGAATCGGTCCGCATCCCACTGGGGTAGATGCGTGTCAGCTGCCAGGCATTGTGGCGGACAAACTCATTTCCTAGAGATAGGAAATTCCTAGAGCATGAGGGCTACTCATGAGGTCATTCCCTGGCCTGCAGAGCCACCTACCACATGTGCTGCCCATCCATCTGTCCATCCATTCATCACTCATTCATCTACTCATCCATTCATACTTTCATTCATCCTTTTATCCATCTAACCACCCATCCCCTCATCTATCTATCCATCCATCCATCCATCCATCCACCCACCTACCCACCCACCAATTTTCATCCCTCTCCCCTCTCAGGAATCCAGGTGTCCTGCCTTGTTTTTTAAGCCAATAACCCCCCACCATCACTTACCTGAGCCAAACCCCACAGTACAGCCCAACTGGACCCCCTTTCCCCCACATCACACCCCTGATGTCTGGAGGTTTTAGCTCTACACCCGAGGAAGCCACCTGCCCCCTCCACCCTACCCCAGTCCCCCAGTTCCACTGTCCCCTTCGTCTCACCTGCATCCCGGATGAGCTTCCTGGCCTTGGCCTCAGAGAGGGAGGAGATCTCAGAGGGCCGGGAATGGCTGCGGGCCTCTTGGAAGCCCCGGAAGGACACATTCTTGCAGTAGATGACGCAGTCAGACAATGCTTGTGCCAGGGTCTCCTTGTCCTTCTGCAAGGCAGAGCCGTGTTGGGTAATGGGAGCATCATCCACCAGCACTCACCCAGGCCACGGGCTGTAGAGCCAGGACAGATAAGAGCAGCTGGGGGTGTGCTGGGATGTGGCAGTATCCCCACCCATGAGCAGCCTTCCTGCTAGGAACGGAGCAATGAGGGGACCCCCAACATGGTGCCACCACAGCAAAGAGGTGGCTGGCATGGCCAGAGGCAGAAAACGCTGTTCCCCCTGCCTGTTGATCTGTCTCTGCCATCTCTGTCTCTCCTCCAGGCACTAGAATTTCACTACAGCCCTAAGCTATGTCCATGGGCTCAGCACTCCCAGCCTGGGCCACCCACCTTTGCCCTCCGCCTCTCTTCCTCTGCCTCTGCCCCATTGTCGTCGTCAGACACATCAGGCACCTCATCCCCTGGCCCGTCCAGCGTGTCCTCCAGCCGCCCGATCTTCTTTCCCTTCAGCAGGATCTTGTGCTTCAGCTCCTGTGGGGTTGGGAATAGAGAGGCACTTTAGTGTGCCCAGCTCCTCCATGGGGCTTGTTTTCCCCTGGGATCCTGCACTGCTGAGGGCCAGCACCACTAGCTCCCTTCAGCACCCAGGAGGGGATGGCATAGGAGGGTTCTGCCCTTCTGTCTGACTCTGCAGGGCATGGGGAGACAACTTTGGGGACAGCTTTGGCACCTCTGTGAACACAGGGTCATCACATGCTCCAGTAGAACAGAATGATGCTGGAACAGAGGTGGCCTGTTCTCTGAAAAGCAGAACCACCTCCTCGCTTCAGTCTCAGACAGGACAGCAATGCCCAGCACAGCTGTGCTCTGTCCCTACCTCTGGGGATGGCAGATGGCTGGGTACGTGCCCGTCGATGGTGGTGGTGAGGAGCTGTTCCCCCAGAATATCCTTGAGCTGCTGTGCCAGGACCTCCTGCTGCTCCATGCTGCAGTGGTTCTCCAGGGACAGGATCACCGGGTAGTCCGAGGCCTGGGGAGCAATGTGTACAGCTGGAGATCATCCTTGGTGGGGTTGGGGAGCTCTCACAAGGGCTTTATCCATTTGTCACCAGTGCCAGAATGGAGCTCCTTGTGTCTTCTTGTTTCCCGCCTCAAGATCCTCTTACCCCTCCAATCCCCCATTAGCCTCCATATCCCATTTCAATTCCGCATCCCCAAGGCCCCATCTCACCCCTGCACCCCCAAGAGACCGTCTGCGTGCGCCCCCATCCCCTGGCACAGCACAGCACAGGCTGTAGGTCAGACACCCCAGTGCTGTCCCCTGGAAAGTGACACAGCCACCCTCCTCTCCCACGGAGTGAACAGTCCTGCTGCATCACCAGCTGTGTGAACCACAGCACTCATCCCCCTCCAGAGACCCATCACTACCCCATGGGACAATTGCAGCCACATCCCCGCTCACACCAAGGGCCACCCACAACCTCCAGCACCTGGGGAAGAGTGCCTTACCTTGAAAGCGTACTTCCCCAGGGTACTCACTACCTCCCGGAAGGGGATCTTGGAGGTGAAGGTGTGGCCGTGGTACACCATGGGCTCCCCATTCGGCCCGTCCCAGCAATCCACTTCCAGGCACCGGCAGCCCCGTTTCAGAGCCCTGGGGGTGGGTTGTCACCCCTGGGACCCCGCACATGGCCAGGGCACCAGTTCCCTGCCCTCCCCTCTGCTCGTGAGTGTCACCACTATAGGGACCAGGGGACACCCATCCAGGGTGTGGATGCTGCTGCATGCAGGGCAGGTAGAACTGGGCTCAGTATTCCCCTTGCTGAGCACTACGTGGCATGGCCAGAGGAGAGCTGGACCACAGAGGAGCAAAGGAGCTTCTGGGTTTGCCCCATGTTGCTGCCCAGGGCACAGCACTGGGACAGGAGGGTGCTGGAAGGCAGCTGGAACGGAGCAGCCCCTTTACCTGATGTAGCCCTCGATGCTGCTCTGACCCCGCAGCTGATCCTCTATCAGGTAGGTGTTGTGGGAGGAGGAGATGAAGTAGTGGCAGAGTGGCTGGTTCATGTCCTGCCACAGCGCCCGGTGCTGGGGGTTGAAGATGGAGCCCTCCGGAGAGCAGAGGTACATGAGGAACCCATCAGCACTCAACACATGGCGAGCCCGGGCTGCAGGTGGAAGGGGAGGCTCAGTGACAGCCAGGGACATGGAAGAGACAGGGCAGGGCAAACAGGGCTGCTGGTGGCTCCTGGAATCTCCAACCTGGTCAGCACAGCTGCTGCCAGAGGCTGGGTCACAGGAAGAGATGATCCAGGGCAGTAACCTTGGAAAGGCAGGACCCCAAAGCTGGAGTTTGCACACTATGGCTGGTCAACCTTCTACACAAAAATGGTCCAGGAATGAACCAAATAAAGTGGAATTGCACCCAGATCACACCATCGTAAGTCTTCCCCCGTGTCCTCCCTGCAGCAGAATGGGGCTGGGAGCGCTCCTGCCATAGGACTGAGTCTCAGACCTCTCCCTGCCCTTGTGCAGAGCACAGCCAATGTCAGAGCCAGCTCTCACCTGTCTCTGATGGTTCATACTTGTCAATGAGCTCCATGGCCATCTCCTCTGTGCCCTCATCCTCCAGCTGCTCCTGCCGCAGGAAATCCACCAGCTCCAGCAGCGTCAGCTTCTTTCCATCCTCAGAGAATTCTTGAAAGAGGCTCAGCACCTCCTCACGCTGCGTGAGAGCCTTGTAGAAGAGCACAAACTCCTCCCCTTCCAGTGTCCCAGACTCTGATTTATCAGCATCCTGCAAGGAAGCTCCCTCAGCACCCAAATGGGGCAAAATGGAGTGTCTTGGCCACCCAAGGTGCTGGGGGGGATTCTCCCAAACAGAGGGCAGAGAGACTCCACACCAATGGCAGTGGCAGGCACCGATCAATGGATGGATGGGGAGATGGAGGGCTGGTTGGGTGGACTGATAGGTGGATGGATCCATGGATGAGTCCATAGATGGGTCTATGGACAAACAGGCGGAAGGAGGGAGGGAGGGATAAAAAGTCAGACAGCTGGTTTGCTGGGTAGACAAATAAGCAACTGGATGGACAAATGAATGGTAGGAAGAGCTGCCTTGGCTGGTTGGTTTAACAGAAAAATGAACAAGTGCATGTTTGTGTGGGTAAACAGATAGTTGGGTGAACAAATGGATGGATGGATAGATGGATGGATGGATGGACAAAATAAAGAGACCATAGCCTTTTGCAAGGAGGTGTTGTGCAGCTTGTTCCAGCCCCTACAGCCCCTCCAGGCTCTTGGGTGCAGTGCTTACCTGGAAGAGCCGCAGGGCATGATCCTCATTCATGTCCACATTCATCATCTTGAGGAGACGCTGTACCTCCTTGAAGTTCATGCGTCCATCCTTATTCTTGTCAGCTTTCTGAAACCAGTCACGAATCCACGTGAGAGAAATCAGGGCAAATGTTAAGGGAAAGGACCTTGGCTATGAGAGATGGAGCTGGGGAGCATCAGAGGGCCTCTTTTCCTTTTTCTGTGTCCTGCACTGATGCAGACGGTGAGACTCAGAACAGCTACACACATGCTGGGCCAAGGCTGAATATGCTGGGCCTGGGGAATGATCTGCAGCGGGGGAATGACTGGGTGGGGGGAGGCAGAGTGATGCTTGCAGGAAGGATATTGGTCTATCTTCTCCCTTTGGTCCATGGTGGTGGCTACCTCAATGAGCTGACGCAGGCCCTGGACCCAGCACTGCGCCTCCTCGGCCGAGCCAGCAATGAGGTCCAGGTTGCCACGACGGCCATAGAAGACAATGGTGAAGCAGCGCTCAGGGGGGAACTCCTCGGCCAGGCTCTGCAGCACCTCTGACTGGTGCCCTTCCCGCACCGTCTCCACATCGCTGATGGAGACTGGGGCAGAGGGAGGGGACGCCTGTCTGTGGGGGACAAGGACCACAGGGCAAGGGGCACTGCCCACAGACACTTATTCTTCCAGCCATCCCTTCTTCCACTCATCCATCCATTCATCCACCCACTGAGCTACTCATCCATCCATTAACCATTGAGCTATCCAGTCAATCACTGCCATCAGCCCCTCTGTCTGTCTACTCCTGCGCTGGCATTCCAGAGGTTCCAATTCAATCAGCTGCAATTTCTACTCATCCCTTTTGACCCATGAATCCTGCTGGAGGCAGGATGTTTCAAGGAGAGGTGTGGGTGAGAAGAGACCACATATGCATGCATAGCCTTTCTTGAATGCCCCAGCACTCTCAGCAAGGATGGTTTCAAGAATCTCCATACCTTCACATTCCTGTAAACCCTACTAATGGCCCTGTGGCCAACACACAGAAGCCAGTACTCACAGGCAGACTCCGTTTTGCCTGTCCTCTTCGACTGGTACCAGATGGTCATGCAGTCATCCTGCAGCTTGAAGAAACGCTGCTTCTTCCAGCTCTTGGACTTGACTTTGCGCATCAGAGTCCCTTGCTGCATCTGCTCCAGTGTGTCTGTGAGCTGGATGCCTGGGGGCAGCATGGGCTGCATCACTAAAAGTGGGGCTATCCAGGCACTGTGCCCTGATATTTTGCTTCATCTTGCCTCTGGAACCCCATGTGGTCCCTTGATCTGTGAGGGAGGAGGGGTGGACTCCAAATAAACTCCCTTCACCACAAGATGGGCAGAAGGTTCCCCATTAATCCTTCCCACCCACCCTTGGCATTGCCAAGCCCAAATCCCAGTGGCCATGGTGAGGTAGGTATACTCCTGAGCGTACTAAGGTAAACTCAACCCACAGGCCAGATTTGCCCTGGTATAAGTACGGATGGCCCAATGCCCTGCCCTGCACCTCGCCTCCACCGCGGCACTCACGGGCGTTGCACAGCAGCAATGCCATGGCTCTGCGTTCTCCACGCTGACAGCTGCTGAGGAGGGAAGAGAGAAGGTGGCTGGGGGGAGCAGGGACAGTCCCCCCCACTGTGCCCAAGTCCTGCCGAGGGGGGTCCGGCCGTACCCATGTGTGTGCAAGGTATGTGTGCCCCTGCCCGTGTGTGAGCGCACCTGCGCCTGTCTCCTGCTGGGTCATTGCCTTCCTTAAGTGTCGAGTTCACCCCGCTGTACTCATGAAATATTAATCTGTTACCGGCAAGCCAGAGCTCAAAAGGTGTTGGTGGAAAACAGAAAAACTTGTGAGAGCAGACGCTCCACAGCCCAGCAGGTACCAGAGCCCTACTGCTCCCAAGGAAGAAGTGGCCCCTAGAGCCAGGAAAAACTGTTCTGAGGGTGCCCAAGAACAGCCCCCACCAGCTAGGACATGACCCCAACCAGCAGATTTGAAAGTAAGGGAGAGGCACAGCCGTGATAGCAAGGAAGGGGGCACAGAGGAATGACCCTCAGCTCCTGCAGCCTCTTGTCCCCAGGGAATACCAGCACCCTGGGCTGTGACTGCACCCACAGCTGTACGGGAAGCGCACTGCGGTGAGTGGGACTATAAATACCATGGAACAATATGGCTTTGATTAGGCTGTTGATACTTTAATTAGACTGACAAACTGCTGGATGTGCCTGTCACCCAGGTGCTGGAGTTGGGCCCTCGAGAAGTGGATGCTGCAGCTAGTGGGCTGTGATTTGGATGCAGGAGGTTCCTGGGGACAAGGGCTCTGTGCCAGGATGCAGGGGTGGCAGCCGTCGCCCAGGCCCCTGACTCAGCACAGGCACCAGTGGTGTGGGGCTAGGAATAGCTGGTGCCGTCAGCCTGCAGGCAGCTGCCAAGCCCAGCTGCCAGACCCTTGTGGGCTCCAGGGCCAGACGGCAGCCATCCCCTGCTCAGTGTCGGGACAGCAGAGCAGATCCCCAGCACAGGGGCCTACGCCCCACTCCTGGGGGACACACTAGCTGTGGGGCTGGCAGTGGCTGTTTGGCTGTCACCAGGGCACAAGAGGACTGACTGTCTACACTCTTGGGGACCTCAGACGTTGCTGGAGACATGAAGCAGCTGGGGTGCCATCCCAGCAGTGCCCAGTGGTGAGGCTGTGTGTGCCCACCACTGGCCCTTCTTGCAGGGCTCAGACTGAAAGGACTTGCTGCAGTGCCCACATTCCCCCCATCTGATATGCTGGGGGGCACTGACCCAGGACTTGGAGTGCCTGCACCCACAAATGGGGGGATGGCATCATGCTCCTCTTGTGCCCTGCAGAGTAGGTACCCTGATGCTGTCTAGCATAGCTAGAGCCCCACACCCAGCCCTCTCCTGGCACGCTCTCAGCCTCTGCACCCCGTGGCCTGCAGGGAGTCAGGGGGGACAACCTCAGTCACCCATCTGCCTGCACCCTCCTGTCTCCTGGCAGCACCCAGGAGACGCACAGCCACCTTTGCAGGGCCTCAGCTCCAGGTGCCCACCTGCCCTGCAGCCCCTGAGCTGCAGCAGGAGAGGGAGAGGGGGATGTTTGGGGGAAGCTGGGGTGGAGGGAGAGACACTGAGGCTGGAGAAGCAGAGAGAGATGCTGGACTGGAACAGGGATGGGCTCGGTGCCACCAACAGGTCTGTCTTCTTTGCGCATGCATGTGTACAAGGTGGCAGAATGCAAGGGAGCAGCTTGCAGCCTTCAGGCCCATAACCATGAAGAGAGTTTGGAGATAAACTGCTCTTATCCTCTTATCCCTTCCAGGCTCCAGGCACAGTCTAAGCATGCCCAGTCCCAACCAGGAAGCAGTCCCAACCAGCCACACATGCAGCAAAGAAGTGATGAACCCTTCCAGCATAAGGAACGTGGATGCACGGACACAACTGTTCTGCTCTTTCCCGTTGTGTGAGAGATGCCCCAAGCCTGGCATAGCCTGGCCCCATGCAGGCCCCCTTGCCCCAGTCTGAGTTACACTATCGAGCCAAGCGGGACGGGAGCCAGGGTACGGAGAAACCCAATCCGAGAGTTTCCTGCAGGACGGCTGCCTGCTGGCCAGAAACAGCCCCAGCTACCCCAGCACACGCTGAGCCACCGCAGCTTTTCTGCTGCTGGTGTCAGGCCGTAGCAGAGCTGGAGGCACAGTGGGTCTGAGCGCCCCCCGGCCACCCCAGTGCAGAGTCCCCTGGCAGAATTAAATTGTCCCCCCGGCCACCACAGGGGTGGCCTTACCAGAGCAGGGAGAAATGCTCCCTCGCTCCAAGCACCCCCCACACCTTGCTGCCTCGGTGTGCCCACAGACTGCCCGTGTTCTGAGGCTTTGCTCAGCCCACCCGCTCCGGGACACGCCGCAGCACAGGTGCACGGAGCCTGACCCACGCAGAGGAACCAGCCGGCAGCTGACGGGTCAGAGGGGCTGGGAGGCGAGAGGAGGGACGGATAAGGGGCTTCGGGGTGGGGCAGCAAACTCCAGGGGATTCAGGGCTCAGGGGGACAAATCACACTTTAAGGCAAAGGAGATAAAACCGCCGGCACTTCTGCCGCCCCGCGCCACCCCGACCGAGCAGCCGTTTCTGGGGCAGCGCAGCCCGAGCCAGGGGGTCCCAGAGCCTGAGGGTCGCAGCCCCGTACCCATCGCCCCCTCCCTCCGCAGGACGCCCGGCTCCCGCGCGGAGGACCGGGCGCCCAGCCCCGTACCCGCTCTCCGGTGCTGCTCCGCTCCGAGGGTGCTTCACCGCCGGCGGCCGCACGGGGCCGGGGCTGCCCGGGCTGCCCGCCCCTTGGCAGCGCCTGGGCGGCGAGTCTGCTCCCGGCCCCCCGCCCCCGCGGGACGCCCCCGGCCCCCGCACGCCCCGCAGCCGTCGCCTCTCAAGGTCGCTTCGGATTAAGGTCACGCCGCTTCTGAGGAGGACGGGGGGGCGGGTACAGAGGCAGTGGTGTGGCCGGCAGGGGTGGGAGCACCCTGCAGTGCCCGCCGTTTGGGGTCGAGCCCCCATTCTCATCCTCCGACACAGGCTGTCCGTCCCCAGACCCGCTTGCACCCAGCACAGCCCGATCTCCCCCTCCACAGCGCGTCTTCACTGTGTTCCTGTCCTTTCCAGGACACGATGGTCCACGGGCGCTCCCGGAACCCTCCTGGCTGGGAGGGATGTAGGACTGAAAAAGCAAGGCGTAGTTTGGGCATCCTGGGGTAAAAATCCCCATGAGGATACAAGCAGGGGCAGCCTTGGGGCGGGGCAGGTCAAGCTGGGGGCAAGGGGTGCAGAGCAGAGACTAAACTTTCGGGAAGGCAATGCTGTAACAGACCTGGACCCTGGGTGAGTGGCAGCACTTGCAAACACGCTGCAGGAAGGCAGCGAGTGCTCTCTCCCTGGCAGGTTCACTGCCCTCCTGCAGAACAAAACAGAATTCCCCCCCACCCCCCGAAACCCTCCACATTACCTGCTGCAGGAGAGATGGGGTGCTACAGGGATGTAGTCAACTCCCACTGGGAAAGGCTGCTCTTCCCAATCACACCCCCAAGATGGCACAACCCCCGCCTTCCTCCCACCTGCAATAAATCCCCACTCACCACTTGCCCTCCCTGAGAGACCAGACCAGGAGGAATCTGTGCTGGCTGGGGTTTTATTATTTATTAATCTGAACTTAAAAAAACAAACAAACAAACAAAAACCAATCAACCAAACAGAAGCATTTTAACACTCTGTCAAGGTCAGGGTGAAAAAGAGGGAAAAGAAGGCAATGGTTATAAAACAGGAACCCGGGGGCAAGGAAGAGGCCGTGCTCTGCCCTTGTTATGCAAGGCTGTGAGAGGAGGAGAGAACGGAAACGATGGGATTTAAGACACTGTTGGCACGACACTGCAGATGATCAGCAAAATGGGCTACTCGAGGAGGGGGGAGAAATTAAGTAGCTGCCCAGGCTTGCCTGCAGCCAAGAGCAGGCAGAGCAGGCTCTGCTGCAGCGGAGCGGCTGCTTCTGAGAGCCCTCTGCAGCTGCATTAACCCCTCGGCACAGGGAAGGCAGGTAAGAGGCTGCTGGTCCACTTTAATTGCGGTGGGGCCAAGGCAGATGCCAAGGCGGGTTTGAAAGCTGAAATGGATGCACCCGACTGGCAGAGAGGAGCAGAAGGGGAGGGAAGGGAGGAGGGGCAGGACTGAGGGGCACCTGGCAGGCAGCAGCGGTGCGGGATGTGGCATACCTGGAGCCTGCAGGCAGCAGGGGATCATCAGTCGGTGGCCTGCCCACCACCTCAAGGCAGGTGTTGTCACGCTGAGCTCCATTTGCCGAGCCAGCCAGCAGCCCTTCCAGGACTAGATGAGAGGGCAGCACACATCAGCCCCCGGCGGCTGGTCAGCTGCAGAAGTGCACTATTTACAGCACAAGAGCCAGTCCTGCTGTCTTCTCCTTCCCCAGAGCCCTGGGAAGCAAGCTTATGACGCATGGATTCATTGCATGTAATCCACCCCTCCTCTTGGGGCAAGCACGCAGGGGCCCGGCTCCAGCCACTGCCTCTGCGCCAAAGGAAAGGAAGAAAGAAGCTTACTGCGCCAGCTGGATGCAGAGCCAGGAGCAAGGACATGCTGGCAGGGAAAAAAGCTGTCCCTGGGCTACCTGCAGCTGAGTAGTAGTATTAAGAGGGGATAAAATAACTGGATCGGCTTTTATTCAGTTCGCTCATCTAAACAAGACGTGTAAACAAGAAGTGACAAGGAATTGGAGGGATGTGGCGCACACACCCAGAGTTGTGCACCACTCGGGCGGAGGCTGAGCTTGCTGGAAGAGCGGACATCTGCACTACCCCCTGCCTGGAGGTGGGGGCAGGGATGCCACCCATGCCTCCCAGAGAGACTGGGATCTCTACAGATGGTTCTTATTGACCTTTTTTTTTTTTAGCTGTAGTATCAGCATTTGCTGGTGTTGGGATCCCCGGAGGCATTGCTGCTACAGAGCAGCCCTTTGGCTGGGTGGGATGGTCCGACAGGCTGGCAGCCAGCTGGCGTGCCCAGTTTGTTGCAGAAGAGGTCACCTGTTCCTCGTTTTTTGTAAACCTGAGCTGTTTCTTCCCCAGTTCCCCACCTCCCCCAGCAGTCATTGCGGAGGAAGAGGGATGCCCCGTGGGTCAGTGACTTGACCCTCTTGCAGGTTCTTGACGAGCTGAGCCAGCCAGCGCTTTGTGGTGGTGTCATCCTTCAGGACCTGGGCGAAGGTGGTGTCCTTCAGCTGGTCAGGAAGGCACTGCCTGAGAGCTTCACGTGCCCTACATCAAGAGACAAGAAACGGGGCCCAACAAATAAACTCACAGGGGCAAGGGGGGAGCAAACCCCACTGGGGACACAGCATTCCTTTGCCTGGAGGTCTCCCTGGCAGAGCCAGCCAAGGAAAGCACTGAGCAGCAGCACCGCAGCACGTGGCACTCAGCCAGCCAGTGCAGCTCCCACTCCTCATGCTAAAACCCAACAAGCAAGCCCCTGCACTCTGACACCTGTCAGTCAAGTGATGCAATGCCAGGAGATGCCAAGGCAACAAACGCACACCCAGCAGCTTTGGGCAGAGCTGCTGGTCAGCAGGAGATCAGTTTGTATTCTCTCAGCTGAATTTCATCTGTTGGCTTCTACTGCTAACAGCTCGTTTGATGCAGAAGAGGGAGAGTACAGCACACCTTCCACCTCAGGCCCTCCCCTGTACGTTGTTCAATCTACATTTGAGCTCAGGCAGTTGTGAACTGCACAGATTGAATTTGCACAAGCCCTAAACAGCCTCTGTTTCTCCCATGTACTATAAATGGTACATATCCCAGGAGGGATTAGCAATAAAAACATCAAAGCAAAAAACCCACCCATCTTCTATAATGAGCTAAGGCTGGCAGACCAGGAACTTTGATTCCCACTAAGTGGGCACTGTGGAAAAGAACTGTGCTTCCAATGGAGAAGAAGCCCCTGCCCAGACTCCTAAAATGTTTACCTGGGGTTATCGGAAAGGCGAAGGTAGCAGCGGACAACGTGTTTCAGCAGCCGTGCCGATGGCTCCTTGGAGAGCTGCAGGACCATTTTACCCTGTTTGACAGAGGCCAGTGCCACCAGTTAAAGTCTTTATAAGAACAGCTTCACAATCAGCAGAGACTGGGAAAGGCCATTAGATCACTCACTCTGGCTTCCCACACAGCACAGCCCATTAACTTTCATCTGGATACCCCTGCATGGAGCCTGGCACTGCTTGCCAAGATGCCTTTGAGAAGGTATGACTTGGAAAGGGTTCTCCCAGCAGCTTAGGGAAAGCTCGTCTCATCTCTGTTTGGTTTTTACCTTCCCAGGACTGCTTAGTGGTCCAGCTTTTTGTGAGATTAAAGAGAACCTGGGGTTTCCACCACTTGTGGAAGACAGACACATCCCAAACACTTTGATAAGCTCAGGCTGAGTCACCCCGTGAGGTGTGTTCCAAGCTCTGCAACACTCCCTATTCTCATCTGCATTCCCTTCATTTCAACACCCTTTTAAGAGTGTTTTAAGTTTATTAGCAATAGCCTGGGAAGCCATGCCAAAAGACTGAGCTAACCCACACCACATGTAGAAAGATCCACATCTGGTCTTAGCATGCACCCAAGAGTTGTATTTTCTCTTTCTGCTACATCCCTCATGAAGCTGCTCCAGGGAGGCAAGGCCAGGGCAGATCTCCCCAGCCCAGCTTCCGTTCCTCACACTAAGTAAGACTTTGCACATGGCTGCACCTTTGAACACGCCCAGTCAAGTAAACAGTGCAGCTGCCTTCACACGCCTGCTCTGAAGGAATTTAACAGACTGTTTACTTGTACTGACTTCAGGAGTCAATCAAATCTGCCCAACAAGTTGGGTTTTTTCCCGTAAACTACTTTGGCTAGCACTAACCGTTTTCCTCATTAGCCAAAGTCACCTGTATTTGGATATCCAGGCAGTTAGCAATTAGTAGGTCCCCCTCATCTGCCCTTTTTCAAGCTTCCTGTTCTCAGCAATTCCCCAGGATACCAATATTTCTTCAAAATAAAGAATTGCAAACTCCTCCAACATTTCCTGGATGGAAAATACTAACTTCCTCTTTTAAAAGCATCTAATACTTGTGTAAAATCTCACTCAGTTACCAGCAGACACAAAAGTAAATCATCACTCTCATGAGATAGGAGGTACACTAAACTGATTTTTGAAAGCACTGTGGAATATTGATCCTGTCAGTGCTTCACCCAGTGATAGGACTATACCACAGCTAGGACTTCTTCCATGCTAACACTGCTTTACACACCCACATCCTTCTGTGTTCAAGGAACAATTCATGTTTGGGAATGGTATGGTCTCCTTCCTTTCCCTATCCCAGAGTTTCTAATTACATCCTTCACTTTGCCATCGAGCCAGATGTACTTCTATCAAAGCTGATTTTTTTCTTGAATGCAAAAATCATGTCACATTAAACATTATGGATATCAGCTCACAATCATTCATATTTTCCTGTTTGTGGGTGAATTAGGAGGTAACGTTTTCTTTACATTTGCAAAAACAGACAAATAAATGTTCCTAATGAAAGCACAGCATTTAGTCAGAGAACCAACATTGCTAAGTGCTTAACTTACTGCTGCATTTTCTTCTCCTGAGACTGCTCTTTAAAAAGCAAACAAATGCATACAAAAGCATGGCAATAACTATTCCAGGGTAAGCATGTGTTCCCCTCGGTGAGCTCGAAGATAAAGCTCAAGCTGGGGCTATTACTTCTGGGATGAAAAAATTATGAGTACCCAAACTTGTCCATTACAGGGAACAGAGAATGGACAGAAGTTGTCTGCTCTCTCCATGCTCCAACACAAAAATTAGAGCATATGCAGCAGCCAGTAGGAGCCAGATTCAAAAAGGAAAAAAAGGAGAGTGGCATTCCAGGCAGCAAACAGGAAACTTGTGAAACTCCTTGGTCAAAGACACTGTGGATGCAGAATGTTTCTATGGGTTCAAGGATAGGAACACTGGTGTTTACAGCACAGAAAACCCACAACTGGCCCCAGAAATCCAAAGCTCAAAGTAGCTGACAGCTGTGAGACTGTTATGACAACAAGTATCATATACTTGCCCTGCTCCTACTCCTTCACTCAACCTGCTGCTCTTTCAGCCTGTTGTGAGAGACAGAAATGGGATGTGCATTCATGATCTAAACTGTGTGATCATTCTTACACTAAATTAAATCAATTTACATTCCAACAACAACTCTGAAAACTCTTCTCCCTCTCTGGAGAGGTTTACCTGTTTTATCTTGAGGACTCAGTATGTGTTCTCTTGATATGCAAAACAGAGATATCCAGAGGAAACATGGAAGCAGAGAGCTACAGTGTCACAAGCAATTAACCCAAGAACGATTTGCCTCTCTCATCCTGTGCTCCAGCCAGACAGCAGTAAAGTTGCTGTTGAAGAAGCTGGCTGCTACAGTGTAATTCTGTCTTTCTTAAATACAAAAAAAAAACTTTAAAAACAAATGATCTTACCAGTATCATGGCAACATGGGAAAACCGCTCATAAGTCTGACAGATGTATGCCAGCCCTGTGTCATCCAGGAGGATTTTCTGAAGAATAAACGTAGCAACCTAGAAAGGGGAGAAAGCAGAAAACAATGCCTATAAACAACTTATCTACCCTGAAAAGGGACAGCCTTTGCGTGGTGCTCTTTTCAAGGCAGCCCCAGAGCTGAAAGGCCTTTCAGTAGGCAGCAAATCCTTTATTCAGTGAAAATTAAAAGCCAAAAGAAAATGCAGGACAGTACACAATGCTTGGCATCTGTCTAAAGAAAAGAGATGTAAACAAATCAGAGTGTACAAGATGACTGGATGCAGGTTGCATAAGACAGCAACTACTGCTGGGCCACTCAAGAGCAGCCTCAGGTTTTGGTTTGTTTGGTTTTTGAGAAGGTAAAAACTCCACCCAGACTTGTCCCAGCATTTCCAACAGGACAAAAGCCAACTCTGCAGGGTACCTGCTCCTGGTCAGTCAGAGATGAACAACAGAAAGTCTTTATTAAGACAAAAAAAATAGGTACCGTTTTGGAGAGTTCACTGCCAGACTCCATAATGCGTAAGCACAGGGGGATAATTTCTGTTGTCAATAAGAAATTTATCACTTCTTGCTCGTCAGTTTTCACTAAGGCGCCTTGAAGGAAAAACAAAACACAAAAATCAATAAGCAATAAATTTTTTCAAAAAATCTCACCTTTCAAAGAGGGCCTGGGCTCTGCCATCCCCAGGAACCATTCAGTCTGAACAGCAGGCAGAGCAACTGTTATCCTAAATATGTTGCAGCACATGGCTGGAGAAATCATTTTGGCAGCCAAAAAGTAATCAAGCTGAGTTTGGGGGTTGTTTGTTTTTCGGAAAGGGGATACACTCTTGGTTCTCCCTCAGCAGTAACACAAACACAAGAGGATCATGCCACTCACAGCAACCTCTGGGAGGAAGAAACACATTTTGAGACACTCTTACTTCACGCATTCAGAAAGAAAGGTTTGAGGTAGAAAGAAAAAAAAACAGGATAAGGGGAAGACAGGGCAAATACACGTAAGTCAATAAATGACAGAAACTCAAAGAAAACCCAGCCTGCATCCACCTATCCCAATGTCTAGCTGGGAGGGCTGAGGGTGAAGGCAAGACAAGTCTGCAGGTGCTTGTACTCATAGAAATATATTTTTGCATTTTTAGTCTTCAATGGGTTTTTTGTAAGTGAAAAGCCCAGTTCCTACACACTAAAAGGAACTTAGTGGAATTGCCTCCACAACTGATGGAAAAGGAACAGCTGCTCCTCTTAATACTACAGGACTCAGAAGATCTCAATATAAAGAAACCTCTGACTTTGTCATGCAGGTCTCTTTGCCCACAGCATGAACTTCTCTAACTCAACAGGAGACCACTGCTCCAGCATTAGTCTGGCTTCTTACCAATCACTCCGAGGCTTGTGAGCCGCAGGTACTCAAACGGACGTGTCTTGCTGACTGTGTGCAGGAAGGGGTACAGGAAGAGAGGGATATGAGCTGCCAGAAAAGCTGACCTGTGGGAAAGGGAGAACACACAATGTGAGCAACAAGGAAAGCAAAGTGAGCATACAATCCAGCACTACCACACAGAGCTTTAGGCTGCTGGACACCATTGCTGCTGCTCCTTAAAAGTGTATAACAGTTCTATCTCTGATAGAAAGGCATGAAGTAAATTCTGCACTTGGTGCAGCACAAAACCTGATCAGAGCACCTGATCTGTCAGTTGCCTGCATTGCTGCTTCCAGCTGACCAGGAACAGAGCACATGTTGTTTTTATTGCCTCTTCCTGCTACCCAGACCCTCTGCTTTGTACATTCACTGTCACATTTCACTCTGCAGGCTCTCAGTGGCAAGGACAGTCATCCTCAATGCATGACAGAAATACAGAGTGGCTAACTCTAGGCATCACCACAGTTTAAATGTGCACAGACACCTTTTCCCCAAGAGCCCTCACACTGTCTTCTGACAGTAGTGAAAAATACAGACTGCAGGGAGAAACCTGGAGATTGTTCTGCTAGCAGAGGGAAGCTCTCTTGCACAATCATCCAACATACTTCTTCCATTTTCAGTGTTCAAATTTTAAATGTAAAGGTGAGTACTGTAAAACTACCCTATTTATTTGGTTATCTCATGGAGAATTGCTGTGTAACACTGCTTTGCAGCAGCTCGAAAACAACTTCAGCTGTGCTGCTGCTCAGCAGGAACAGAAGTATGAGATTATGGATCTCTGGGTAGTATTAGCTACTGATTTTGGCTGAACCAACATCATATTTTCCCCTGCTGACATTGGCTGGGCACAGACTGAGAAAATCTGAAGTCAGACATTGGCTGAGGACTCCAGAAATGGCTCTGCTACTGCTCCCTTACCTCACGCAGTCTCTGGGAAGGACAGTCCTACCCATTCCACCCTTTCAACAGCTGGTCTAAATAACTGTAAGCTGCTTGTCTAAATAGATGTAAGCTCATTAAAACAAGGATCCTGCACACAGCACTCAACACAAAGGTGCCCTTAGCTCTGGTTGACCTTCCAAGAGCTGCCACAATGGAATATTTTGGAAATTTGCAAAAACTTAGGATGATCCAAGGGATGCAATGCATTTAGGACCACCATAAAGCTGTATCCTGATAATCCATACAAACAAGTGAAAGCAGCAGGCAGCTGTCTATCTACCAGCTTTATGGTCTGTTTCACTTCTCTAAGTAAAAGAGAAAGGAGCTTATGTACTTCTGGAGTCAAACACACAGGCTGAGCTGTCAACATCAACACCTCTGAAAACTCACACATTTGGAAATGCTTACCTTGTTTCAGGGTGTGATGCAACACACTGTAGCAGAGCTAAAGCATTGCAGACTCTGTTGGACTGATGGGCTGTCAAAGTTGGAGGGTTGATGGATGGGTAAATATTTACAATTTCCTAAAAATTAACAGATATAGAGAAGTTAAAGGAGAAAAATACCAGAAAGCTACCCCAAAGCACGTGCCTAGCAAGGAACTGCAGTGACAGCAGATGACAGTCTGCTTTCACCAAGCATTGCTTTGAAGTTACAATGGGGCCACCATGCTGCCCAGCAAAGGCAGAGCTGGGTCAGAGTCAATTTGACAAGGAGTCACAGGAATGCATTCAAACCCTTAGTTTCAGTAAAAAAAGGTTCATTTGATTTCTTGGCTCTTTACTACTGTAGACTCTGTTTTGAACTTCCAGATCAAAGAGGTGTCCTAGAGGCAGAGGACACCCACTCTGCTCACAGTGTAGCTGCTGGTACTCTTCTAACTCAATGCAGGGGAAGCAGCTGAGGCTGAGAAATCCAATTCAGAAATCTGCCTGCTTCCAGCTATAGCTCCCTTGTAATTTTCTTTGCTTGTCAGGGCCACTCAGTCAAGAGTTTGACATTGCCAATGCTGCACTCTTTCTTTCCTCCTTGGAAAGAAACTACCAGATTTGGCATTGAGTGATAGCCAGTCATCAGCTGCAGAGTGGTTTGCCCAGCAATAAGCTGAGCTGCTCAGTTTCACATGAAATGCAGGTACCTTCCCTTGCAAGGGTATCTGCAGCAGTGAGCAGCATTTCCCTGCTGCCTTCCCAGGGGGGTCCCTGCAAGGGCAACCTTCTGACCAGAAAGTACACTCATGCAAAAGAAATCAAACCTGCAGTCTTAGGAGAAAGACTGTTGTGGTTCTGCTATGACGTCGTATTAAAATAAGCAGAATGGGATTCACAGGGAGCTCATACATCCAAGAACTTTCCTATTCTCCTCCCAACTATATAAGCTGCCTAATTAGAAATATCAGTCTCACACGTCACCTTGATAATGATGATTAACGGCAAATGAGCTTTCCACATCTGCTCTCCTCACATGATCTATCATAGATCATATTCCCAGAAATGGCAGTAAGGGATCCCACCAGTGCCTCCCCAGATCCCCACCATGGACACACAGGCTCTGACACACGCTGGTGCTGCACTACGGGCAGTCTGACCCACCTGAAGGAGAGCTGCGATGGTGCCAAACGAGTGCCACAGCATCGGGGCGAGGTCAGGCACAGACTCACGCTTCTTGCTCAGCTCCAGCAGCGCGTTCTCCCGTGTCTCAGGGCTGGACAGCTCATTGATCCATTGGTAAATCTTTTCGCGGTCAACCTGAGCCAGCGCTGTTGGCACAGGCTGGGAGGGAGACAAGAAAACTTCAGTCCAAACATTTTATCCAGTTCTCAACCAAACCCTTTCCACAACCTGTCAGAACGGCCAAAAAGTGCTCAAGAAACTCCTGAGTGAAGGGGTGAGAACTAAAGCTCCTTCAAGATGCCCTGGACATGGATCCATCCCTTCCTTAGATTAGCATTATCACTTCACCTACTGAAAATGCAAAGGCTTTACTTTCTGGCCCGACTTGACAAGTGGATTAAGAGAGACTGTCTCAACAAGCAGCACCTCGTAACTTCATTCAGCAATGTGAGAGCCAAGCTGCTGCCTGCCTGTGCCAGCAGAGCTCCCAGGGAGTGACAGCTATCATTTGTTCCACCTGCATTTAGCACGCATTCATTTCAAGCTTCAAGTGCAAGATTCCATTAATTCAAAGTAAAGCAGATGCTACCTTTTTCCCCTCCAAAACCACCCATGACATTGGAAACTGCCAATGGGATTCACCCAATGTACATGAGAAAAATATTCATACGAATAACAGAAAAATTCTCACTACTCCAACACCAGCATGACAGGGGCCACAGCCAGTAACACCTGCTGTTTCCAATGGTTCATATTCATCCCAGGTACTTTGTCCACATGCATGGAGATAAAAGGGAATTTTTCAAGAATGATTCTGTGCAGGATCTCAGGGTGATTTGATTACTGTTCAAAATAAACCCAGAGAAGGGTAGATCTGTATTCATAGTCAAGACCCATTTTCTACTACTCAGGAGAAATCCAGAATTTCTCTTCTGCCTCTCTTGGAACATCAGGGAAAGAACAGAATCCAGGTCAACAAGTTCTCAAAACAAAAAAATAAGGAAGGAAAAGAGAGACTGTATCATAGTTTCTGTGGAGAATGCCATGCATAAGCCTTCCAGTGAAAGTCTGTCTCACTGCTGCTCCTGAGCCAGCCCTCATGCCACCAGCCCTGCATTTCCCTGCGCAGGGCAATCCCAGCTGGGAACAGGACTTTGTTTCCTTCTTTGTTTTTTAAACCCCAACTGAAACTCTTCAGGTGCTCATCACAACAGACGTGAGCAGAGCCTGTGCTGCACTGACAGCAACGCTACCACCAAGAGACACAAGAGAACACAAGGCAGTTCAGGAACTGAAAGTGGCTGGAACCAAACCTGAAGCCACATGGCAGAGGCAGTACCAGAACTACCAGAGGGATGGAGAGAGACTTAAGCTTTGGCAGACACTGGCAGAGCTTTCTGTTTCTATTTCTGTGAAGGTTTCCCTCCTCTGTTCATCCCCATTTTATATCCATAGTCATGTCCCCAGAGATTCCTCCCCAGCTATGGGACGTCTCTCTCCCCCAGCCATTTTCATCATATTATTTAACATAAATGTTTATATATAAGCCAATGTAGTGTTATCAATCCCTGTATTCAAGGGTTCAAATACCTTTTTAGATGTTTATCTTTTCTCCTATCCTCTTTTTTTTCTCACTGTTGTGGTTTAGGAATGGTATTCTCCAATGTAGTGCTTCCACTGAAGCCACTCCAAACCACAAGCCTCACTCATTCCCCCCTCTGCCTTCAGGCTACTGCAAAAATTAACCCTGTCCTGACCAGAACCATGACAATCACCTACTCAATTTTAAATTTTATTTTTTTTTGCAAAATCTCACACTAAATTAATAATCCTGACAAGTTTATTGTGGCCTTACAGCTGTGAGTGCAATTGCAATGGCAACTTCTACAGTGAAGCTGAAAAAGAGAAGAAGAATCAACAGAGCTCATTTGTTTTTATTTGGGATGCTGGAGTGACAAGCAGTGTACAATAATGTTGTTATATTTGCATTATCTAAAGCTTCCATCTATTTTTCTAGACTCACTGGAAGTTTCAGTTCCTGTAAGCTTAAATACATCGGCCCTTTACAAGCACAATCATGTGCTTGTGATCCCTAGAGAACACTAAGTAGATTTTCCACACAATTAAGTTTATGATGTCCAATATCTGCCTTAGCCAGAACAAACTGCTTTTCACAGGCTCTACAGTTGCTCCTTTCGCTTTAGTTTAAACAGAAAAACCTATTTTTTCCTAATTTCCTACTTCATTGCTGTTTCTTCTTCTAAGACCCAAAATTCTGGGGAACTCTGAGGGCCACACAAATCCTGTGAGCTCCAAGACAGAACCCTGTCAGGCAGACTTTCTTTTGAACACAGGGAAAGTGGAATTTACCAACAGTATCACAGCAGAAATTCACCACCCCTGCACACACTATGAAAGATCTTGTAACACCTTCCTCAGGAGAAAAAACATTACCTCAAACATCCATGCCCAATTACACCTCCAACAATCACATAACAAACAGATTTACGCAAATGGCTTTTTCTTCCTAACTGAGCAGTTGCTGCTACACACACTGGTAGAAGCACCGGTCAGCCAAAGCAGAACGTTGACTAACTGGATACATGTGCTTTTTCAATTATTTTGACAGATCATCTGCTTAAAAACAGCAAAATGAACTTTGAACTTCCATAGCAGCAAATCAGGTGATTTGATATGGGCTTTCAATGCCTTACAGCTATTTACAGCTTGTTCTCAAGCACTCTGTGATGTCTCCAGGTCTGAAACAGAAGTGTCAGCTATGCCATCGCCAATGCTCTGGCTCATTACAGCTTTATCACAACAGTGTTCACACCCCTGAAGGGACTCCTGAGCCAATTCATGGCCCTACTAAGAGGTAATGTTATTTACCACAGGTCCTGAGCACATTTCCAGAGCCAAACTCCCTTCCCTGTCACCTTTAGTCTAACCATATTAACTAACTGTGGTGGGAAACATTTAAATACAGAACTACCTGGTAGCGCAACCTATGTATAAATTAAACATGCATTCAAGTGAGTCCTGAAATAAAGTTGACCTCTACTCCTAAAGCAAATTTTTTTCTTAAAACTGTCTTAAAAAAAGAGAGGTGGCTAGAATACATACCGTGGATTAATGGGAGATACATATAATGGGGGTCCTTCGTGCATTTCAACAAACACTTAGGAATTAGATTGCTATAAAAATGTAAATGCTCATTAAGAGAGTTCACTGTGATCTTGCACACCCTTCTGTGCTCTGAAATGCATTACTTTAAATCAGAATATTTGCCAGCACTCCAGGAAACAGCTAAAGTCACGAGCACTTGAACAAAGTGGGAAAACTTAAAAAGTTCTCTCAACTCCTGTTCATCGAACTTGACTCACTCATTAGCTTGTTAGTCCAAGCAGACCCTTGAGCTAAGTTCATTTGAAACAGCTCTAACTGCTGGGTTTGCAATACACCTCCCACACCCAACATACACAAGACTCAATCAGCTCTAGGAAGTCTCACACACACCATGAAGGTGCATTTGGAGAAGTGAAAACCAAACCACAAACCCACTCTGGTGGGAGATCCGAGACAATAATCACATCCTTCAAACTCAGCTTCCACTTTTGAACCCACCCAGGCCAAGACACAGTTCCACTCTGACCAGCCTGAACATCACGCACCACATCCCACTTCAGCAGTCTCCTGAAGGGGATAAGAGTAAGCACCACCTACAGATAGCACTGCACTGCACAGTACTGGGGGAAAAGAGAAGCAGGAACAGGCAGCCTCTGCCTTTCCTTCTGCTCACCTGCTGCCCTAAGGGTCTTTTCCTTACCTCCTCTTTCCCTCTGCAGTGAAGACCAGAAGTAAAACAGCTCCTCAGAGGGCAGAAGAGGTGAGTGGGCATGCAGGAAGTATCACGAATGAGTGTTTTAAGGTCACTTGAAGAAGAGGGTCTACTCTGAACCTTGTGAGGGTCTTCCTTATCATCCTTACTCTTACCCTTTTCTTCCTCGCCCAAGCCCCTGGGAATAATTTTAGGGGTTAATTTTTGGTTGCAGGTTGATTGTTTTTAGATTTTTGTTTGCTTTTTCTCCCTGTACTTTAACCAGCTAGTGAGCAGTAGAGCAAACCTTGCCAACGAACTCTGTCGCACTTCTGCTCTTACATTAAACCTGCTTTTATCGATACCTTTGCTGGCAATTCTTTAAAGTGACATCAAAACAGTCATTCGCGACAGGAGGCACCCAGACGCAGGGAGGGAGGGAAAGCCCTACGCACTGCACAGCAGGCGGAGGATGCAGAGCCGGGACACCCAGCGGGGAAACCCTCGGGGCCCTTGGACGAGCCACGCCGCCCCACGAGCAGCACAGCCCGGCCCGGAGCAGCCCCAAAGGAGCGGGCGGAGCGAGGCTGCTGCCAAAGAGACCCGCAGGGACGGAGCTCACCAAGGCTCCGCCGCCCCGCGGGCCCAAGTCCGCCCGCCGCGCTCCGGCCGAGGGAGAGGGAATGGCCCCTCGCAGCGACGAGCGGCCGCGCCCCCGCTCCCCGCGCAACGGGGGCCCCTCCCCAGCGCCGTCCCGCCGGCTCACCGCGGCCGTGGCCAGGCTATGCATGGTCGGTGTGCGGGCGCGGTGCCGGTACCCCCTCAGGCCGCCGCAGCCATCACGGACCCGGAGCCGCCGCGACCCTTCACCCTTCGCGCGGGGCACGCTGGGAACGGGGAGGCGGGACAGCGCCTGCGCGGGCCACGGGCGCGCGCGCGCAGGGCGCGCCGGGAAGGCGCCGCCGCGCTGACGTGAGCGGGCGCGCGTCGCGCGGCGTCTCGCGCTGCCGCCGCAGCCGGTTCCCGCCATCCGCCGCCAGGCCCCGCCCCCCCCGGGCCCTACCCCGGGACCCGCCGGGACCGCAGGTACCGGGAACTCCCCCCCGCCGCCGCCCTCTCCTCCTGTTTCTCCTCCCTCTCCTACTTTTTCCCGCTCCCGCTGGCTGCGCGCCCCTCCCGCCGCGCGGTGCCGCTTTCTCTCAGAGCGGCCCGGCCCGGCCCGGCCTGGGCGGCGCTCCCCGTGTCCCCTGTGCGGGCGGGCGGACGGCGAGAGGGAAATGGGACCCACTCCACGGAGGAGAGGGGACGCCGCCGGGCCGGGCCGATCGCGGGATGCCCCGGGGAACCTCCCCGATAGCGCCGCCCTGGCTGAGCGCGGGGTCCGCTCCATTCATTCCATCGGGGTTTTGTCGGGAATGCGCCCCGCCGAGCTGCCTGGGACCTGCGGGGCTGTGTCTCGCACCGGGGCTTTCCCAGGCGGGAAGCGGGAAGAGCCGGAGATCCACCGCCGGGTGCCCGTGGGTGCCGCGCCGTCCGAAAGGAGCTCTTTCTCCCTCTTGCGCTTCCTCCGAAGCTTTGGTTCCCATTTCTTACCGACTTTTTTCGGGCGCTTTCTTTTCCTTTCCTTAAATCCGCTGGCGTTGTTTTAAGGATTTTCGAGGACTTTTGTGTCTGGAATTGTGTCTGCTCAGCTTTCAGCAATGAGGAATCAGTGCATTGCTGCCCAGACGGGGAGAGATTTTGTTAATCTAAGTTCCCTTCACTGCTGTCCAGCTCTTCGCTATGTTTAAAAGTGGCAGTAAAACGGTTTTATCAAACTTCTGTGGAAAGTTCAAGCCACGCTTCTGTCTCCCTTTAGCCACTGTTTGGCCTGCCGAGTGATACCTTTCTCCTTCTTAACAGGTTTTTCAGGTGGAGCACAGCTGTTCTTGTTAGCTCTTTTCTGTGAGAAAGCATGGCTCTGTTAAAGGTGCACGGACCTGTCCGGATGCGCAGCATGCAGACTGGGATTACAAAATGGAAAGAAGGGAGCTTTGAAATTGTGGAGAAGGACAACAAAGTGAGTTTAGTAGTTCACTACAATGTTGGAGGAATTCCAAAGACGTTTCAGGTATGCCAGATATTAAGGCTTTTGTTTTAACAGTGTGTGGATTGTGCTCTCTTGTGAACAGCTGTCCTCTTCAAGGCTATTAAGTGTCATACAAACTTCCCTCTGTCACTCTTTCTTGTTCCTCGTTTCCTGAACACTAATCCCTTTGTATAGGTATCCAGTAAATTATTTACAAGTATCGTTAAAGGATCTGCCAAGATCGGCATCAAGATACCACTGAATGGGAAGAACCAAAAAGGCAGAGAAAAGTTACTAAAGTATACAGCATTGTGGATCATGTTTCAGATTTTTGGAACCCGTAACCTTTCTGTTACTGGCACATTTGCCTTATCTAGAGGTGAAGATCCTGAACACTTCGTACTTTCTGTTTTCCCAACTGAAGTGTAATGTTGTTAACACACTGGTAGCCTGTCGCTTATTTATACAAGACTCTGCTGAACAGTGGTTGTTACTCTTTTCGGTTTTAAATGCAGATACACATCACTGTTAAAGGTTCTCTTGAAATATTCAGCCTGAATTTTTCTCATTCTATAGTTATTTTTGGTTCAGGCTTCTTAGCTTCTCTGAAAAAATGCTCCAAACCAAAAGAGAAGTGTTTTTTTCTCTAAGAAATATATAATGTTTTAAAAATACGTAAAGGATATAAGAGCAGTTGGAATAAAAAAAAAATCCCATCTTACCGACTTTGCAATAGCCTCAACTGATGTAAATGTTGGCTTCTGCTTTTTCGTGCCACTGTTGTTTTTTATCAGTAGTTTTTATCAGTTCACCAAGCCTTTCTCTGAGCCGTTTATTTCTCTGTGTGGACGCTGTGGAGAAAAGTTCACTTTATTTTTGAAAGATTAGGTTTTGCTGCCTTAGTGTGCTGCAAAGCCTCAGCAAAGAATCTGGAGGCCTGTGTTACCTTGAAATCAAGGCGTGAGGAAATCATTAGCTGGGCACAGTCCCCACCTGTGTTGCTGGAGACTTGAAAAGAATCATTTGCCTTCTCCTGAAAAGAATCATCTGCCTGTGTGATGCTGTGGCTGCAAGTTTTATTTAATCCAACAATGGACCATGTTACTCCTGAGGAGGGTGGTCTCTTCTGCCACTCATGCATTCCCTGGGTGCTTGTTCTTACATACTCCTTTCTGTCTGGATGAGTGATGCGGTGTGACAGTGACTGGAAGAGTGGTTCCAGGGGGAAGATGAGCCTACAGAACAGACAACCATGGCCTAGAGGGGCAAGTTTTCTCACATCTGCTGTCTCTGGCACTTGTCAGATCTCTTTGTGAGCTCGGTGGAGGGTTTTCATGTGAATTTGGGGAAAGGACTGGGTGCAGGATCTAGTGGAGGGGGTGATAGGGCACCGTACAGCCAAGACTGCAGCAAAGGAAGAGAAGGAAATGATGCATCATTAGACCAATTGTTTTTGTTTTGATGGTGGTTATTGTTCATCAGGACCTGCTTACTGGTCCTGTTCATCCATCAGCCACATGGCCACTGGCACAAGAGCACTGTTGGGAGCCAGCAGCAGGCAGGGAGAGCTGCCTGCCCCCTGTGCAGGCAGGCTTGTGTAGTTTGTGTGAGCTGGCCCCAGGCTGTCAACGTGCACTTCAGGTGTGACAAATTCCTGATAATCTTGCTTTAGAAGTAGCATTCCCTATTTTTTGACAAGTTGCTCTGGGAGAACTGTGGGTGATTTCCCTGCCTTTTTTCTTAGTTTTCTGTAATGGAACATTTGGATGGAGCCAGGGTTATATTTCTTTCTGCAGTGACTGGTGTGTCATCAACTTTCTTATGTCAGATGATATGTTTTAATGCCGTTTCAGAGCTTTGACTAAATTGTCCGAGATGCTAGATCTGTATTAAGAGAAATACTTTGTTTACCCCCCTCCCAAGACTTTGTGACACTGACTGAGTCATAACAGGTGCACGGAGAGTAGGGGTGGAGTCCTCTCATGCCAGCATTTTGAGTTGAAATGGATTGTTTTGCACTGAGATGGTGAAGTAACTGTAATACCTTTGCACTGGGCTCAATATTTTAAGAGAGGGTGAAAAACTTGGAGCCCGTTATTCAATTGTTAGGTCTTTGAAGACATTTTTTAGCTTGTATTTAAAAAAAACTTAAATCAAACAAACCCCCAACACCCCACCCCAAAAAAACCGACCCAAAATACAAGGATTGAGCACAAAGTGTAACGTTCCCAGCAAAACCAACCCTTAGTTTCTGATTCAGATGGCTTACCAGCCTCTCTTACAAGCTCCTGTTGTGTCTAGGTTGGTTTTCCAAGAAGCCAGAGATCTTAATGGAAAAAAAAGAAATCGTGCTGGTGGACAATGGGACGTCTTGTACTATCTTGCTCTTTTTGAGTTATCCTCAACCTGTGTAAATAGTAGAGCTTTTACCCAACAGCCAGTTCTTAGAGGTGACTTAGCATGAAGTAACAATTAAGTACGGTTATAATAAAGTAGCAGTGGCATCATTAGGGAGAATGAATTGTTACTAAAATTATTCTTGTGCTCATCCATAATCCTGAAAGTTTTGACACCACTTAACTGTTATAATGTTGCATACAGACTAAGCATGTTTCTTACAGACTTACTACCTCAGCAAATTTTTAAACCATGTCAAATCTGTCTTCTCTGAGAGGAAATTGTAAAGCGAGTAGAAGTTTGTATTTAACATTTGAAACTTTCCCCATCTGAAATTATATTTCAAACTTGATGTGGAAGTTTTAGCAAAATGGGACTTTATGAAGTTGTTTTTCCTTTATGTTCGGAAATGCCACACTCAATAGGAAAGCAAGTTTCAGAAAGGTTACCCGGGAGCATAGGGACTGTTGAGTGATAGTGATACTGTCTTTTCAGTTCTGTCGGATGCCAAGGTCACAGATTGCATTAATTCTGTGAGGTTTAATGTTTGCTTGAAGTGGAGCAAGATGTATTTTGGTGCAAGTGTCTCTTACCCTCCCTATTTTAAGTATTTTGTTTGAATTTTTAAGTATTTTGGCCTTTTAAAATTGGATTTATCTTTATGGTCACTTTCTTGTTTTCAGCTAAGCCATAACATTAAAACTGTGACCTTACGACCAAATGGCAGAAAACTGTGCTGCCTGATGCTAACACTAAAGGATACCAGCTTCCTGACTATTGATAAGGTGCCACTAAAAGATGCAAATGAAATGCGGATGTATTTGGATGCAGTCCATCAGGACAGGGTTCATACCGGTAAGTGCAATTGTTGTAAATCATGTTGTAGCAGTTTGGAGTGGAGCAGTGTTGTGTTGTTGTTTTGGTTTTTTTTTATCATCATGGTTTAATCATATCCAACAACAACTAAGCCCCAAATGGCTGCTCATTCCCTCTTCCCAGTTGGGTTGGGAAGACAATGAGAAGAGTGAAAATGAGGAAACTTGTGGGTTGAGACAAAGATGGTTTAGTAGGTAAAGCAAAAGCTGTGCACGCAGGCAAAGCAAAACAAGGCATTCATTCACCACTGCCCACGGGCAGGCAGGTGTTCAGCCATCTCCAAGACAGCAGGGCTCCATCATATGCAACAGTGACTTGGGAAGACAAACACCATCACTGTGCCTCCCTTCCTCCTTCCCTAGCTTCATATACTGAGCATGACACTGCACGGTGCGGGACATCCCTGTGGTCATTTGGGGTCAGCTGTCCTTGCTGTGTCCCCTCCCAGCTTTTTTTGCACCCCTAGCTGCCTCATGGGTGGGGTAATGTGAGGAGCAGAAAAGGCCTTGACTCTGTGTGAGCACTGCTCAGCAATAACT